CAACTGAGCCACCCAGGCGCCCTCAGGTCCCCTTCTGAAGTACCACTTCCCTTCCTCTAGACTTGGCTCTCCTCTCTTTGCCTGACTCCCTCCTTCCAGTGTTCAGGCAGGGCTCTGCCCCTTTCACAGCCTCTGCTGAGTTGCCTCAACCTACCCCAAGGGGCTTCCTACTCTCCATAGGGTCACCCAGGTTGCCTGGCATCCATGGTAAATCTTCTGTCCTGGTGTGGCATCTGCTTGTGGGGGAGGGGTCCCACTTACCCTGTTCATCTCCCCAGCCTGGAATCAGGAGAGAAGCCAAGCTCCAGCCCCAGCAGGGACAGGAGTGGGGGTGAGGAGCAGGGCCTGAGGGAGGGACCCAGGGGAAGGCACGTGTGTGCCTCTCGGGGGCAAGTCATGGCACGTCAAAGGCTGTGGGCCTGTTTCTGCCTGCCTGGCCTTTGTCTCCCAGGAGGGAGGCCAAGCCAGGAGCCCTGGCAGTTGGCAGGGGAGGAAAGGTGCTGGGGCAGGGGCTGTTGCCAGCCCACAGGGTGTCCCTTTAAGTTGCTGGGTAAACAGTGCCTGGCCCAGGAGGCTGCACTGCTCTCCCTACCCCACGGCTGCAGTCCCAGCCTTCTAGCCCTCTGGAAGCAGACAGCCCCACCTCCACACTTTCAGAAGGCCTCCATGAGAGGGCTACCAGGCTGTGGCTTGCCCGGGAACCACGTGGAGAGGACCCCCAACTGGAGGACAGAGCCCCAAGGTGGACTCCCCCTTGGGGTAACTAGGAGTTAAACCCTCCAGAAGGCTCAGTGGTAGTCGGGTCCCCTGAGGAGATGGTGGGGGGGGGGCAGTTCATATTGGCTGGGGACACATGGGCTGGGGATGGCCAGGGGCCTCCAGTATCCATGAGGGATTCCTGTTCTCCCCAGATGGACTCCGAGAGCTCCCAGCCAGGGGAGCAAGACATGACAGAGGCAGGGGCTGAGCAGGAACTTCGGTGGGTGGAGCTGGGCTCAGAGGAGGCCCTGGAAGCCAGGCCCGAGGGCCCCAGTGCCCCGCAAGCCTGGGGGCTCCTGCTGCAAGCTGTGTGGAGGGGTCACCTGGGCCTGGCAACAAAGCTACTGCGTCAAGGGGCCAGTGTGGAGGAGAGGTGAGCCCCAGGGCTGGACCAAGAGTCTTCACCAGGGCGGAGTTGGCAGGGGTCCTTTCTCTGGGCAGGGCAGCAAGGGCCCCTCTCCTGGAGCTCCTGCCCCAGTCCATGCCACCCTCGCTGCCCACAGGGACCACATGGGCAGGACACCCCTCCACCTGGCCGTGCTGCTCGGCCACGTGCCGCTGGTGCGTCTCCTGCTGCAGCGCGGGGCCGCGGTGGGAGCTGCCGACCGAGCGGGGCGCACGCCACTCCACGAGGCCGCCTGGCACGGACACTCGCGGGTGGCCGAGCTCCTTCTGCAGCATGGGGCCAGACGCTTAATGACTGAGCCACCCAGGCACCCCGGGGAGGTGACATTTGAACAGAGTGACTGAGGCTCATGGATAGAGTCCATGTGGCTTAGGGGTGAGATGGGGCCACTCAGCCCCTTGCCAGAGACCCACCCTCTGGATCTGGCACCTGGAAAGGCTGCTCTCTAGGGAGGTGGGGGAAAGGTCAAGGTTCACCTGCCCCTCTAGAGCGGGTGTGTGTGTGTGTGTTGTGTGACAGGGCAGAGCCTTCAGGACACCTCATCCCTGCGAATGTGTGTGCGGGGATGGGGGGCTGAGGGGGCTGGGAAAGGCATGACCACCCAAAGCCACGTTGCCTCCCAGCGGACAGTGACAAGAGGCAGCTGGACAGGGGCAGGCTGCAGGGGATGGCTATACCCCTTTCTCCTGTCTGGGTTCTGGACAGGTGGCCTTACCCAGGGACTGGGGATGGTAAGGTACCCTCGGGGTCAGGGCCCCAGAATCCAGGTGACCAATCCTGGAGGCCT